GTGCGGTGTTGGAACAGTGTCACGAGGACGGTTGGCATCCGGTTGAGTACTTCTCCCAGAAGGTGCCTCTCGTCAACACTCTTAATGACGCTAGGAAGAAAGAACTACTCGCGTTCGTCACCGTCCTCAAACGGTGGCGCCACTTTCTTCTCGGCCGTAGGCGTTTTAAATGGAATATGGATAACAATCCGTTGACATTTTACAAAACGCAGGACACGGTCACTAGTACGATCGGTCGATGGATGTATTACATCGACCAATTCGATTTTCACCCGTGTCACATTCCCGGTCCCGCCAATCGAGCTGCGGAYGCCCTCTCACGACGGCCCGACTTTTGTGCCATTGTGACCACGGCATTCGACCTCGATGACGATCTGCAGCAGCATTTCGTCAAAGGCTACAAGTCTGATCCGACTTACTCTACGCTTTACGCAGAGCTTTCATCGGATCACCCGCTGGCTAGCCATTATCGGATTTCCGACGGGTTCCTTCTCCTTCACACGAGAGGAAAGGACTTGTTAGTTGTGCCCCAAGATCGTATCTTACGGACTCGTCTTCTCGGCGAATTCCACGATGCACGACTTTCGACACACCTTGGCGTGAACCGCACACTCGCACGCCTCCGCCAGCGTTTTCACTGGCCCGACGTCCTTCATGACGTCACGAGGTACATTGAGTCATGTGCAGTTTGCCACCGCAACAAGGGTCGATTTTGAGTCCCCTTCGGCGAACTGAAACCGTTGCCGATTCCTCGGGCACCACGCCTCTCCATTGCTATGGACGTGACAGGCCCGTTTCCCCGCGATCGCTACGGCCATGACGGTATTCTCACGRTCGTTGACCGTTTGAGCAAGTATGCTCGCTTTCTTCCTTGCAAGTATCATGCTGCAGCGCCTGAGCTCGCACGACTCTTGCACACCGGTTGAATTACCAACCAAGGTGTTCCGGAAGACATAGTGAGCGACCGAGATACTCGCTTCATGTCAGCCTTTTGGACTTCTCTCATGACGGAGTCCGGCACGACAATGAAGCCGAGCTCGGCTAGGCACCCGCAGACGGATGGTCAGACGGAGCGAGCGCACCAGACTGCTCAGATGATGTTGCGTACGCTCATCCGTCCCGACCAGAAAGATTGGGTTGACCGGCTTCCCGACATCGAGTTCGCCTACAACACTTCGGTGC